GTCAATAATGGACCTGATTATTATCCATACCATGAAGAAGCACCATACAATACCCCGTCTCGGAGATTTGGATATTCTCCATACCAAGACAACTGTGGGGATTATTATGAACCTCATGGTGATCAAGATGATTATGACCAACAAGGGCTAATGTACGATGACCAGCTAGATCCACTTATTGAAGAGATTTTGTGGACTGAGAAAAGAATACTTTATCTTGACCTAGCATTAGTAATGGAGTGTTCATTATTTGAACCACGCTATTGCCGTGATTACTCTCTGACTCGTGAAGAGCAAATTGAAGCAAACAGAGATGCAATCCAGGCGAGAGAATGATTTCTCAAAACAGTCCAAAAAGAACGCCAACTACTCCAAACCCAGAAAGATAACGAACAACGTGAATATTGGGAGCATATGCAAGAGATGCTGGAGGACTTTAATAAGGCTATGGAACAACAAGAAGAGATGGATGAAATTGTTGTTCTAGAAGAGGACGAAGAATCTGAGACAGAATCTGAAACTGAATCTAACAATGTCTCAATTCTTGAATACCCACAAACTCCATCACCACTGTATATCGAAAACAAGATAACACTTGCAGAAATGATTGCACGAGGTACAGTGTTGATGCTTCCTGAAATCCCAACTAGTCAAATCGTACAAGATGTGAAGCCTACCGAGGGTCCTGTCTCGGAAACGCCTTCACCCGTTGCACCAGAAACGTTGGAGGAACCTGTCCTCCTAACATGTGTTGAAGACACTTCTCCAGAGGAACCTGTTCTGGGGAAATTAGAGCCCATCACCAACCCTTTTGATCATGTAGACTCAGGGGAAGGACATGTTGTAATCATTGAGCCACCAACAGAAAGTCAGCCCATTGAAGACTTGGAAAGTCAGATCCTGGCACTGAAAGCCAATGATGTGGATACACTGAGGAGACGCCCACCACCACCCATTCAAGTCGAGTCTCCTCCTTTTTTCCTGTTGCCACCAAGCCGCAGGAATGAGTCAAAGATCCTGGACTTTGACTACAAAAGAACAGAACAAAGGTGGCATCAAAAGAGAGTCAAAAAGGTCAAACTTTATGACTCTCGGATCGGTAAGTCCCGTAAAAAACGGGCTAACGTCAAGCTAGTGACGTTAAAGAAGCGCTTCATGGGAGGCAACCCAAGTAAATAAATTTTATTTTTTTTTCTTTTTCCTTTTTACGCGTTTTGTGTGTTTATGTGTGCAGGTGGAGTTTGGAATTAGGAGTGCTGGTGAACCATTTTTGAATCAACAAAAAAAAAGAGGAATGACTAACTTTTGTGCACAATTTTGTAAAAACTTTTTTTAAAAAGAAAAAAAATTGAGATTATCTGTGTCCCAAACTCTTGTTTTTATCGCTTAATGACCTCGAGGGCGAGGTCAACCCTAAGTGTGGGGAGATTGGAGTTTGGTACAGAAATGTTTTTATTTATGTAGGAAAACTTTTTGAAAATATTTTTATACATTTTGTTGCATTTTTCATATTAATACTGATCTCTACACCGTGTACGGAATGACTGTCTAAGCTGGAATGGTACTTAAGTGGACACAAAGGGTGACGCCTTCGGGAGCTGAACTTGTCCCACCATTCCTACTGGGTCATTCTGTGGAAAGGTTTATTCGGGTGAGCCTAAGAGCACCTAATTGGCAGCATTCTGCCCGATC